GAAGAGATATATGGAAGAGAAGAGATATATGGAAGAGAAGAGAAATATGGAAGAGAAGAGAAATATGGAAGAGAAGAAAAATATGGAAAAGAAATATGGAAGAGAAGAGAAATATGGAAGAGAAATATGGAAGAGAAGAGAGCGGAGTAGAATAGAATAGAATAGAAATAGAAATAGAAATAATAGAAATAGAAATCTTCATTGGCAAAGTGTGATTGGACAAACAAGGAATTTGTCTTGGTGCATAAGCTCCAGTGTACATGAAAAATACATTCATAGGAATCGTAACAAGAGTTTGAAAGTCCAAATATCTGATTGTTTTGTAATCTGTCAGTTGGACTCTCCTGCACGAGTACCTGAAGGACAACTCCTTTTAAAATGTGCATTTGTCACACCCTTTCCTCATGCAACGGGGTGTGTGTGAGAGAGATGTTTATGATGTAACTCTGCTAAGTGGGGGGAGGAAAAACCCCTCTCCACCGCTCAGAGCTAATCTCATCCCAGAGTTAAGCTTCTTAACTTTGAAAGTGGCAGATCTTTTGGTTTTTTTTTTCAAGTCACCTGCTGTGGGGAAATATGACTGAAATCAGCAAATCTGGCCAAGACTCTGGCGTTTTAGTTTGGCTGCAAATCAAGGGATTTGAAGTCTATCCATCTCCCTGCTGTTTTTGGAACCCTGAAGAAAGGCACAGGAGAGGGGAATGCATTTAAAATTTTGGAAGGCCTGAAATGAGGTTGCTATGTTCAACAGCGCTGGTCTTGACTGACCGAGGTCACGGCAATGCAAGAAAAAAATGGAAGAAGGGAGGAAAAAGATTGGAGGAAAACAGAGGTAAGAAAAATGGCCTTCCAAAATAAAACAGAGGACAACTTCCAAGTTGATACAGAATTGGAAGGGACCTTGTAGATCATCTAGTCCAGCCCCCCAGGCCCAAGTAGGAGACCATACACCATTTCTGACAGATGGCAGTCCAGTCTCTTCTTGAAAGCCTCCAGGGGTGAAGCTCCCACAACTTCTGAAGGCAACTTCTGTTCCATGTGTTGGGATTCCAGCAGTTACCCCCAATGAAATCATGAGTCTCGAGCCAAACTTCCAAAACTAAAGGATTTATTGGGAGTTAACATGTCCGGCAATGCCTGGGTGTAGCCGACTCTGAGGCACATCATTCCTTGTCACCCTTGAGCCTGGTTTTTCCCCCACCCCCTGGGTGTATCATAATTCATATTCTCCAATGGGACACATCCATAGCCCAGTCATCAATCATGCTCTCCAGTTAGAATTTTGCATGGCAGAAATTTCAGTCCCTTAGTAACTATCTTTGAAAAATTATTTATGGAATGCACTTTCGATTTCCAAGCTGCCATCCCACTCCCCCCTCCCTTTCTTTTGGCAACTCTAAAAAGACCAGAGATATATTTTATGAGTTGACATCATGGTTTGTTTGCTCTCCCTGTCAGAAAATTTCTCCTTATTTCCAGGTTGAATCTCTTTCCTTGATCAGTTTCCATCCATTAGTCCTTTTCCGGCCTTCAGGTGCCTTGGAAAAATCACTTGACTGAAGAGTCTGAATGCAAAAAGCTGAAACGAAGAGTCACAATGCTACAAATTGGAAGCGGTTGGACAAGCAGGATGACTTTCCCTGCGCAAGGACCATCCTATTCCCTAAGATTGGCCCTTTGAAGGAGAGGAATCATGCTGGTGAGTTGACTCAGCTGGAAGAGAAGCTAAAGCCTTGAGCCCTTCCATCTTGGCTAGCTCCACCCAATGCTTGTAAGCCATGGTTTGCTTAATTGTGCATGTGTGTGTTTTGTTAAGAAATCCCACTTGTCTGGGCTTCCTTAAAACTGACAAGCTGAGATTTGACTGCTTTCCAAGTAGCTTTCCAAAGTGGCTGAAGAGCTTCAAATATGGCGAATGAACTGAGATTTTAACATTATATTCAAAACGACACAAATGATGATAGAATAATTGTGTTAGTTGCATTTGAATGAAATTATACATGTTTTCATTCAAATCTAGGTGGTCTAGAGGTGGAGGTCTCCCCTCCCAATCAGGAGGCTGTGTTCTGACCCAAACCTTGTTGCAAGTAAGCAAACACCAAACAGAGATAAAAGCAAAACCTTTTAATGCTTCTTCATGAATTCCCAGTAAAAAGGCTGTTCCAAACTAATGGTCTCTGATAAGAACGAGCCTTGCCAAGGTGGTGCAAGGCTGCCAAAAGCATTAGATTAAGTTGCCAAGAAATATTCCAAACAAAAAGTCTCCAACACAAACCAGGATAGTCCGAACTTCCACAAGACTTGAAGTGCAAGAACTTCTTTGCTTCCTGCAAAGAACTCCGGTTTCTCAGCTGGCTCTTATCCCTTAAGGGAGGGGCCATTACCTTGCAGCCTTACTCCCGAGTCGCCCGTGCTGCTGCAGCTGATCTTTCCTTCAAGCAGCCCTGTGCGCATGCACGCTAGGCACAGGCTCCTCGGGGGCCTCTTCCTCACTGCTGCCAGCCTCCACCATTTCCAAAGACAGCTCTCCACTCCCTGATGGTCCTGGCCCCATCCCTGCATCACACGCAGGCCCCTCACCTGAGTCCTCGCTCTCCGAGACCTCAGCCGTCCGCACCTGCTGCTGGCAAACCACAACAGGCTGTGAGTTCGATCCTAGGTAGAGGTAGATGTTTCTCTCTGGGCACACTGAGACTCTATCTGCTGAACAAAACTCCCCACTGGTGACAGGAAGGGCATCCGGCCAATAAAAACTTAGCTCCATTCAGTTGCCCAGACTCCACCCCGCAGGGGATTATGGGGTTGTTAAAGAAAGATGATGATACACATTTTCATTCAAATGTGATTAATGTGAGTGTTCTCCATGAGTTGTCCTGCCTTATCAGCCCACCCTCTATTTTTGGGAGGGTGATTCCCCCATCGCTCCCAAATATCAATCAGGACCCCTGGCTTGGGGGGGGGGGGGAAACAGGGCTCCCCTGTCATAAACTATAGTGAGACATCTGTCTGGTTCAATTTAACAGAACTCAGAACAGGATTTTGCACAAAATCAACATTATTTTTGTTTACATTCGGCAAGCCCATCGTTTCCTCCAAAATCAATAAAGATGAGATTTCTGCAAATTGCACCGAGATGCCATCAGATTTCATTGAAACATCATGAAATCTCAAGCAAAACTGAAATATGCATGAAATATGAAAGATGCATGAGGTTCAGGCATCTCCCTTACACATTTCATGGGCATCCTTGGGGCACCTTCTCACGTGGCACATAACCCCAAAGGCAAAAACAAAGCAGGCAGGAAGGGTGTGTCTAACTTATGTCTAAACCACTCTTTGCCCCCAAACGAAATAGCCATGTTAAGGTTCTCCTGATAATTTGTTTTTTATTTACTTTGAAAAACAGAGATGAAAAATACACAAAAAAAGAGGAAAAACCAACAAATGACATGGGGAAAAAAAAACCTGCAAAAATATGCTTTGCTTAGAACAAAAACATCATTTCTTAAAAGCAACATTAAGCTTGATGGAGCCTAATAGTAATTAATAAATCTTTCTGCTTCGTTGCCAGTTCAAAAGGAAACTGCAAACCCACACTGCAGGTGTGCAGGTTTTTTTTTTCTAAAAGTTAATCCTTTTTAGTTCCTTTGATCAGTAAAGATTATACTTAATTTGGTACAAAACCTCTCTTTAAGTTAGTTATTTTTTTTTCTCTCTCCAAAGTCCTTTCTCTCTAATATTCAGTTTCTCGGAGTTTTGATCATGGCAGGTGAACATTCTGGCAGGAGAATCTTCACTTCTGGAAATTGGCCAAGTTAGGAAGAACTCAGCTAGGTCTTGCAAACGATTTTGGTCTGATCCCCTTGGCAACATATATGACTGTCTTAAAAATGATTATTCCCATAACGATTGGGGAAAAGACCAAAAGGAGGCTGGGAGGCATCTGTACATCCCATTAATTTGTTTAATTTCCATTTCCATTTGAGGAGATCAGAGGCTAGAAGCAGCAACTCGCAGTATAGTTACAAGGAAATGATGTAACGGTTAGAATGGACTTAGTCATGGAGTTAATTGGATATCCAAGGATCATTTGGATACACAATGGAGGAAACTAATCCAGGAGAGAAACAACCTAGAACTAAGGAGAAATTTCCTGACTGTGAGAACAATTAACCAGTGGAACTCCTTGCCTTCAGAAGTTGTGGGTGTCACAACACTGGAGGTTTTTAAGAAGAGACCGGGCAGCCTTTGTCTGGAATGGTAGGGTGCTTGGACACGGGGTTGGACTTAGAAGACTTCCAAGGTCCCTTCCCATCCTATTAATCTACTCTATTCGCAACCTTCCCAGATGCCTCTTGATGGAAAGGCGGAGCATCAATGGACTAAATAAAGAAGAGACCTCAATCTCCAGTCTAAACATACAGAAGTAATTCCATTATATAGCTTCACTTCTAACTTCTATCCTTCTGTTCTGGAGAAAAGAGGAAAAGGGAAAGAGAGAAGAGGGAAAGAAGAGAGAAAGAGGGGAAAGGTAAAGACTGACAGGGGAAGAAGGCAAGGGAAAGGGGGGGGGAGGAGAGAAAGGGAAAGAGAAAAGTCAAGGGAAAGAGAAAGGGGGGAAAGGCGGAAAGGAGAGGAAAGAAAGGGAAAGAAAGAACGGAAAAGAGAGAAGGAAAGGAGGGAAGGAGACAAAGGGAAGGAAAAAGAGAAAGAACAAGGGAGAGAGAAAGAGGAAAGGGAAAGAGAGAAAGGGAAGAAAGAAAGAGAGGAGGGGAGGAAAAAGAGAAAAGACGCGGGAAAGAGAAAGAGGGGAAAGGGAGAGAAAGGGGGGAAAGCGAGAAAAGCCCCGGGAGAGAAGAGAAAGGGAGAGGAGTGGCGTCGCCTGGCGGCTGCCCAAAGCGCGTCCCCGCTTCTTCCCGCGGCCGCGAAGCCACTCAACTCCCCGGAAAAGCCGGGGCGGAGGCTCCTCCTGCGGTCACCTGACCGGAGCCAGCACCAAGCGGGGCCCGGACTCTCAACGTCCCTCTGCGCCCTCCTTTGCGCTTTTACGCACCGCCTTGGCACGCCGCGCGCTTTGCCAAACAGCCGCTGCCCGGCCGGGGTGGGGGGTGAGACGAGCCACTGAGGCGGGGGAAGCCCCCGCTCGGAGCCCCCGACCCGGAGGGCCTGTCCGTCTGAATGGACAACTAGGCGGCGGCGGCGGCGCGTGTCTCCTTTCCATCCGCGCCCTGCCTGCTTCTTTGCCAGCCGCTTTTGCAAAGGTAAGGGAGGTTTTTGGAAAAGGCCGGAGGTCAGGAGACGCCTCGCCCGATCCAAGCAAAGGGCTTGCGCCTCGGCCCTGGCCAGGATGGCGCCCTCGCAATGCATGCCTCTCTCTGTCTCCTTTGCCTACAGGGAAGTCCTCGACTTGCAACCAGATTGCTTTGCGGAATCGGTTGGCCCCCAAAGGTGAGCTTGGATTGCTCCAAAGTTTTTAGACCACCCAGGTAAACTCTGGACCTAACAAACAAAAGGTTCGTTTAGTGACTTTTCAGAGTTACAGCGGGGCTGAAAAATGGGACCTGGGACCGGGTTTTCACACTTAACGACCTTGGCAGCGGCTCAAAATTCAGGTGCAACTGGTTCATATTTATGACGGTCGTCGTGTCCCTTTGGCCACCTTCTGACAGGCAAAGTCAATAAGGGAAGACAGATTCGCTTAACAACTGGTGTTACTAACTTATCAACTGCATTGATTCACTTAACGACGGTGGCCAGAAAAATCGTAAAATGGGGGTAAAAACTCACTTGACAACAGAAAATTTGGGCCCAATTATGGTTGTAAGTCAAGGACTTAGTTACATAGAGCGAGGAGGGGCCTTTCTTTCCTGGCCCTGCCACAACCGAGTTCAATACCTACCTAAACAGAATAATAGAGTTGGAAGGGATCTCCGAGGCCATCTAGCCCAACCCCCTGCTCAAACAGGAAATCCTATGCCATTTTGTCCAGTCTCTTCTTAAAAACCTCCAGGGATGGAGCACCCACAACTTCTGGAGACAAGATTTGGAGCATGGCCCAAACAGATTTGATCCAAGCAGGAAAAGGGGACTCCTATTGCTTTGGGGGAGGGGGGAGGATTGCTGTTCTCTCCCTGGTCCCCCCCAAAATTCAAATATTGGCATCACCAATTTGCATGCATGGAGCTGGAGCACCCCAAATCATGGGGAAATCACCCACTTTCCTATAAGCAGGACCAGGTAAACTGTAGGAACCTTTCCCACCCATTTTTCTGCTTATCTGGCTTTCAGTTTGCAGTTCAAGCGGCCTTGCATATTAGGCTCAAGGACAGAGTTCTAGAAGGCTTTGGATAATCTCCGTAGTTTGTTGTAGTTCTGCTGTCAGTGCAAAGCAGCATTTTTTTTCAAACTTGGAAGAGGCGTGGACTTCAACTCCCAGAATTCTTGAGAAAAGCTGGATAGGGTGTGTGGGGCTTCAGTACCCAGAATTCCCCAGGATGCTGGCTGAGGAGGTTCTAGGAGTTGAAACCTTTTAAAGTTGCCAAGTTTGAAAAACATTGTAGAGAAAGGTGGAGAGGGTAATCCATCCTGGCCAAATCTGTTATTTTGCACAAAATTTTTGCCAAAACCTGAGACGCGTGGAGAGAGGAAAAAACACCCAACATTTTGGTCTACTGAGAAATTTGTTTTAATAATGAGCGTAAGATTTCTTCTTTCTTAAAAAAGAAAGCATCTGAGTTTCCATCCACAAATACTGTGAATGTTACTTCCTGTTTGTTTGTGGTTAGCAAAACAGTTGATGTTTATTACTAATTTGGTTACAGATTTGAGTTTTTGTTACTTTTTATAAAAATTTGGATCCATATGTTTATGTAAGCGGCCACTCTTTCTGGATTTGCTTACTTGTTAGAAATAGCATGGAAGGCTCATATGATTCGAGATTTTATCTTGAAAAGTTGTGACTTCAGGTCTTTAAAAATAATTTGGGGGGAATATTAAGGCCCTTTAGAATGAGAGGGAAAATGTTGAGTTAAAAGTCTGTTTCAGTTTTGCTCCAGGAATCATGTTTTAACAAATGAAAATCTTTTGGGAACTACAAAGTATACCGTATATTAATAGAAAAGGCTTAGAGGCATTATTTTGTTTAATAAGCTTACTATAACGAATGTGGAATATGAGTGCTTTGATAATGACTAGTTATAGTGACAGTGAACAGGAAAATACTTAGTTTCTTGTTGGGATCCATAAATTATAACATGTTTTGATTACAAAGGGCATTCAATGATTTTGATTATTAATTCAGCTAATTCTAGTATGATCCCAGTTAATTTCTGAGTTTCCACAAAGAACAATCCTGAAATAGGTGTTTTTTCCCCAAGCCTTTTAATTTAAATTACAACCAATGATTGCAGAAGAGTTTAATGTGGCTAAGAGCTTCCAGTTGAACAGAAACACCCCTTTAAAAAAAATCTTATTTACAAAATTGGGATACATTCAAAGCATATATATTCTAGAACCTGATAAATATGTGATGTTAGGCTGAAAAGAAAAGGAATAATAAAGACATGTTCCAGTATTCTGTATGGAGTTTTAAAATCAACCACACTAACTTTAAATGATTTTGGAATGCTTCATTAAATATATATATTTATACATACCCTCTGGTAAGATGGGTGGCCAATAAATTTGATAAATATATTAACCAAAAAATCCCAGCCCTTTTTAATGCAAACTCCATTAAGCTTTTAACTCTTTGGGACTCTTGTAAGATCTATGTTTGCTACAGCTAGGAAGAAGCCTATCAATTTTAGTTTTATACATTTGGAAGAAAATAGATATTTATTGCTGTTTTATGTCAGAAATCATGTGGAGGAGTATTATAAAGCATGCATGCATGCAAACTAAGGGTAAATTAGGGCAATTATATTATAAACACTGTACTTTTTTTTTAGTGCAACAGAAGAAAAATATTGTCAATTTTGTGTAAAAACTGTTGACTGAAGCAATCAAAACATCTGAATCTTATCTCTGGAATTCAGGCCAAAAAACATATTGTCATTATATACAGAGACACAGTCTATTAGTCACCAGGTTTTCATTTTTATTTTTATTCTCAAGTACTGTATATAAATCAGAGTGAACTGCAAACAATAACAGATTTTGAGGAAGGAAATTCTCAAGTGTAATGGTACATAAAAGCAATTTGGCATAACTATAGCTAATAACAAGAAATTAACAGATTTATAAAATCAGGGGAAGTTCCTGCACTAGAATTCCCATTGAATGTAAGGCCCTTATAGATTTATTAGCAGAAGTCATAAATGAGTTATTTAATCTTACTAAAAAAATCCCTTTTTCATTCTATGAGGCTGATAGTAGCAGACTAAAATCAGAGGAAAATCGAAAGAAAGAGCTGTAGACCAATATGGTTGTTTAATGTGGATGCAAAAGAAATGATCTAGGATTCTGGTTACAAAACATCTTGCTATTTATAGTTTATCCAACTTGTCTGAAACAGATCTCTGATAATATTTTAATAATCATATTATATGAATAAGATTTTAATGATTTGCTGTTTTGGAAATAGCTGTAGCTGCAGGGGAAGCACTTGTATAATTTTGGTGACCTTGGAAGCTTAGCGGATTAAACCATAGTTAGAACCTGGATAGCAAACTCGGTAACTTAAGTTAGACGGGAAGTTGCAGAAAGCATACGAAAAGCATTTTTTTAAAGAAGTGTAGAAAGGTTAAAATTGGGTAGTCCAGATCAGTTTTTCAAACTTGGCCATTTTAAGACATGTAAACTTCCAACTCCCACAATTCCCCAGTGGAGAATTCTTAAAATGGCCACGTTTGAAAAACCAGTTTATCCAGTTTTAATCTTTCTTAAAAAAATAAAATAAAATCCCAATGGGGGAATTTTCCCAGTGGAGAATTCTAGGAGTTGTAGTCCACATATTTTAAAATGTTTAAAAAACACTGCTCCATATCACAGTCTTGTATTAAGATTTTTTATTTTTTTGTATTTTCTTTCTCTGCATTCCCTTTTTTATTGTAAAAAAAATTGAAGCTACAGGAATCATGTCCAAGAAGCCCTTAAATATCCCTGTGGAAAATGGGCAGTCAGAGAAGTCGGAAGTAGAGAATGGACACCCCAACCTGGTGCCACCCACTCTCTGTACCTCCAGCGTGGAGGAAATGGTTCAGCAGATGAAAGAACTCATCACAGAGAACAACGAGCTTAAAGGTGAATGTTGAACGTCGAACATGGCCAGCGGGTCCTTCTCAAACCTCTATGTTCCACGGAGGACACTGCCACTGGGTCTCTCTTTACCCTGTAGTAAGAATTACTACCAAACACTTAGGTTTAAGATACCCCAGACCAAGAATCTTCAAACTTGGCAAGTTTAAGACTTGTGGACTTCAACTCCCAGAATTCCTAAGCTAACATGACTGGAGGAGGAATTCTGGGAGTTGAAGTCCACAAGTCTCAAAGCTGTCAAGTTTGAAAACCCATGAGCTAATCTATCATCCATCCATCCATCTATTGATCTATCTAATCTATGTATCTAATCTATCATCCGTTTATCTCATCTCTCTCTCTCTCTCTCTCTCTCTCTCTCTCTCTCTCTC